GGTATTACATCTATATGTAAATTAATTTATTTGTATGCACAATTGATTGTATATTTTATTAGTGACCAGACAAGTTCAATGATACACTAACTAGTATTACATGTATATGTAAATTACTTTATTTGTATGCACAATAAATATGTTTCCATCAGTGATTAGACAATTTCAACGATATACACATGTACTAGTATATCAAATGTTTTAATTACTTTATTTGTGCGCATAATTAATATATGTTTCATCGTTGAGTAAGAATGTCTGATGTTTTGGATTCAATACATGGCTATTTACAATGTTGTTCGTGATTGGTCACCCAACGCCAAAACTTTAAAATCAGTCAAATCAGTTTGTCTGTTCTATTTTTGTAGATATACTTCGACTCAGTTGCAGTTCTATGGTTAAGGGCATTCTAATTGCTCGTTTAAAGTGAAAAGTGCCGTTTTTCATTAATCATCGTCCGAATCCCACGGTCCCGTTTCTTCAACATATAGGCCTCTACACGATAGAGGCTTGGCCGAATAAACTTAGACCTTGGCTAGCGAAGATGTTCATTAATATGTTATTCCGTTTTGTACTATAATAGTCAGGTAGAGGGAAAATAGGTAAGAGGAAAAAATGTCAAAATGATCTGATATAGTGGAACATTAAAATTCGTCTGTGTACAGTACACTCACTCTACACTACGTAGTAACATTTCCAATTATGAAATGTCTAACGTCTTCTTACCATGTGTTGTTATTATTATTATAAATATGACCTTATGACTTGGGTATTAAATGTGATCTGCAGGGAACCTCCTACTGACCCCTATAAGCATAAAAAGAACTTTGGATTTTGTTCAGTTCATGAGAAATATTATCCACGCTGCGTGATCTGCAGGGAACCTCCTACTGACCCCTATAAGCATAAAAAGACGTTGGATTTTGTTCAGTTCATGAGAAATATTATCCAATAGAATCCTGCAATCGGATTTCGAAGTACCACATAAATAAAAGTGAAATTTGAAAAAAACTGTGTTTGAGTTGGTTGGCTCAGACTAGTGCTCCAACATTAGAGGATTTGTTGCCAAAACAACTAATTTTATAATTGCCTTTATGGTATTCACAATAATCAGTGAGACCATATATCACAGACTGGGGGTGCAATTTAGATTAACGGATTTTAAGCGGACAAAAAAATAAATGGGAATGATCTGAACTTTGTCCCATAACTGAAATGACACATGAACAATAGAATGCTGAGTAAAAAATAATTTCCTGGAAAAAATAGCAGTATATATGGGCAAATCGTTTTTGTTTCGGATTCTAAGTCGATCAAGAGCTGTAAGAATTGTATTCCTAACATTACTGACATTCTTGGGGGTTTAGTATATTTGTCAACCAATATTCCATACATGATGAGTTGATGTGTTCCAGTGATGTGTAAAACATAAGTTCGAATGAAAATTACATTTCTATAATTTTATTCGGTGAAAATGAATGGCAGATACGACGGCTGAACAGACATTT